CAAAAATAAATGTTCATGGATTTGCAAGATAAGTACCATTTTTTGAGCTTCAAATTTTATAGTCGGTTGGAAATTGTTTTTAGAGACATTATGGAGATCCCCGATGCCCAAAGTGCTTTCCGGACTAGCATTCAAGTGAGGCTTTACTTTGTTTACATAAAGCCAATGGCTGAAAATCAAACAAAAAGACAATGAAAGTCTTCATTTTTTGTGGGTGCCTAAAGAAAGTATGGACAAAAAAGCCTCAGCCTGAATTTTGGGCAACCTGCATTCATCTCATTCTTTTGTTTGTTAACAAGTTTCTTTTGGTAGAAAGCCGCCAAGGCGTGATTTTTAGCTTACATTTGGGTCTTGCCTAACAGAGATTTTTAGCTTACATTTGGGTCTTGCCTAACGCCATGGAATCACAGTTCCAAACCCATTGACATGAGTCATAGGCTGCCACTTCCAGGCACTCGTCTAACACTTCATCTGTGCCATAAATTTCCAGATTAAATTTCAAAGCATTAGATACTCCTTAAGACACGTCATCAATACCAACAGAAGGTGTTTTAATATATCACTTTGTTTTAATGCACGTGGCACTTCCTTAGAGGTGAAAGACACTTCAACAAAAAGGTCCAAGATATGCAAATGCTTCTCTAAAAGCAACAAACTTCATACAAGTGTCACAGAGCATAGAAAACATTTACCTAGAAATGTCAAACGCTATCAGAAATGATGCATGTTACAATTTACAAACACTTCCCTAAAGGCATTAGATGATGTTTACATGTCCACTAACCACTTGCAGATTCCACAAAAATTTCTGAAGGGATGCCATCTGAGATATCTCTTTCATTAGATCCAAAAGCGAACTTCATATGGTGCTATCTTAGACTAGGAACCCAATAGATAGAAAGGGCGAACACGAAAGGATGCTACCGCTATCAGACTAAGGCTACTGACGAACCTGACTATGGGCTTGGACGGGCGCAATTCACTTCGTATTACATGGGGTCATTTATGTCATTTCAGCTTTCTGAAAAGACTAAAAGAGGCAGCCTACAATACAATGTACAGCTCAAGAATTCCCACAACCTCCACATGGCTTCAAAATTGTAAGGAATTTCCATATTACATTAAGACTTTCATCAATAGGCAAAGGATATTGAATTGATGCAACTCTTCTTGACAAACATTCCAGTTAGTTGAAAATATTGACAACTTTACTAATTCAGAGAACTGCCAAACAACTCAAGAACATGTTCATTCAACCTTGTCTGATTCTTCGATGACAGTCAAATAAAGGGATCTATCCAACAAATCGTTTCTGACACAAGCAACTTTCCTGCCAGTGGAATTTGTTTACCGCCAAACATATCAAAAGGCTACATGGAACGGCTGACACAAGCGACCAATCTGTTCAAGCATATGGCCAACCATCAAGGGCAAGTAGACACCATACAAGCCCATGGAGTGACATTTTCTAACCTCCCTCGGTAACCAAAAAGCAACCCCATAAGGTGTCGAACAGTTGTATCCCAGCCAAAAGCATGCGGTTTCCACATGCACAACATTAACAGCTCCTGCTATTCCCAAGTAGGTCAGCAGTGTTCAACCCCAATGGTTTCTAAAAATGCCTCCATCAAGCAGCCCTGGAGTTCCAAATAACCTGCAATCGAAACTCAATTTGAAAGCACCATGGTCTAGTGAGATCCACTGAGAAGAGTCGATTACAGTGAAAAGAAAGGACCAAATCATTTGCCGCCATTACATATCTATGTTGACTGCTGAGAAAGCCTCTAGTTCATTACAGAGTTCCAAAAAATTATCAAAGCCCTGATCCAGTATTTTCGGAGTTCAAGTTGATGAAGTAACCTCTGATGTGTGCCTGACTCCAACCAAATAGATCAAAAGGCACACAGGGCAGGAAAGGGTGGAGAGAACATTGAAAAATATGTTTTCAACACTCCCCGGGGCAACCAAGAAGTGTCGAACAGATAAAGGAAGAAGGATCACATATGGTAGGCGATTTTGCAATGTATGAACACAATTATGAGGTTTTCAACACTCAACGAGGCAATTCAAGTAGTATTAAACAGATTAAAAGTGAAGGATCATACATGTGGGCAATTTTGCAATGGACGAAGGAACTCCCTCCCTATACCCTACTGTTGTCAACAGCTTCAGAGAACATGAGACATATCAATATGTGTAGATAATTGCCATTGTAAAGTGTTATCACACAAAACTATAAGAATACTCACAAGAACTGGTAGACTGACTAGCTCACCGGTACTATGTGTCTCAGAAAATGTGACCCCAAGTTTATAAAGCATGCTATGTAGCACTGATTCCACGACAATACATCACCCTTCATTGACTTTAGTCACACATAATAAATGCCCTAGCAAGTCATACTGGGCTGCACACAAACAATCCACTCTTACTCTCTACAAAAACGGACTGTGCTGCACCCTGTAAATGTGTTCTACTTAAATTCTTCGAACTATATTATTTCCATTGGTGGTTGTGCAGTTTGATTCTACTTTGCTGAAAGATACTTTAACCATTTGAAGTCAGGGATATCTTGCTTGCATGAACGAAAGAGTATTTGATTCACCTTAAATCATATTTCTAAGTTTTGGGCCATAAAAATTGGAAATTTGTGTCCACAAATTTTTTTATTTGGTAAGTTTCATTCCTACGAAGAAATATTAACTCTTCAATCAGCCAATTCCCTCCAGACCCAACATGTTAAATAGCATGTTCATGAGAAATGAGTATGCCTCTAATTGCATCATCCTCGCAACTGTTGGTACCATATACATAGTGGTAATAAAACCATGAATTTATGTGGGGTAAAACAAGTTCTAGGATATTTCTTCAATAGCCAAGTTAACGGTTCATCACATTGCTTTGTCTTATCTTCCTTTGACAATTGATATTGAATTCCCTGCTCAAACTATACCGTAAACATTAATTTCAACTACTATATTTCTTGTATAGTACTTATTTTTTGGTTCATTTGGCGTCCCTCATCCCTACTAGGCTACCCCAGATGCATAGAGCAACCGACCGGTGGGACGCCATTTTTTAATCTAGTGCACATTTTTTTTAGATCTATTGTACATGTTTTCTCAGTAATCAACATACGTTACCCTTTTCCATCAACATATGTTACCCTTCCTCACCATATACATACATACATACGTACGTTCACACATACATATATACATATGTACATACGTGTGTATATATATATATATATATATATATAGGGAAATTTTATATAGAGCCTAGGCTCTAAATAATCAAATTAGAGCCTATGTCAAAAATTTCACTAGAAGAGGTTGTTTTGATGTCCACATATCCTCAAATGGATTTCAAGTTTTGGAAATAGTGCATCTTGTAAGGCATTTTTGCATCAATTTTTAAGTTATTTAAGTTTTTATAGATCTTCTCGATCTACTCTATTTTTTAAGTTTTAAATTTTATTATTAAAGATGAAAATACATTTTAAGGCTAGTCAAAGATTTCCAGTATTGAAACTACATTTCTCGACACTATTTCAAGGTGGGCCCCAATTTGATTGTTTAGAGCCTCGGCTATATACAAACCGTGTGTGTGTATATGTATAGACACACACACACACAAACAAACACATATATTATTTTTATTTTTCTTGTTTCTTTGGTAGTATTATTAATGCGTAATGCTCACTTCATTGCTGAAACCATATGGAGAACAGCAACTAGAAGAGTTTCAAAAAGGGAAACAACAGCACACTATCTAACAACAAAACAAACCAAAAACAACAATTCCAACATGAGCAATCCAATTAACCAGATGGAAGAGTAACTTACTTGTAAAAATTCCACCTTTTCTATCACTGGAAGCAAGAAATTTTTATTTGATAGAACAAACTGTGAAAATGAACTAAAACTATACAAAACCAATAAAAAGGAAAAAACACAATCATCAAGCACATTTCACCCCATAATATGTGAGCAAAATCATATTTCCCAAAAATTATTGGGACTACAGTAATCAAGCAGCAAAGAGTAAATTATTTCACAGTTAGAAAAGTAACTGGCGAACACTCTAAAATCGACTGATTCTCAGGGGGACAAAGATTGCTTTCATTACCAGAAGCCGAAACCATAGAAATTTCTAGAACTTAAATCCCCAGAAAGATCATGGAAAAAAGAAACAATAAATAAGAGAGAGAGAGAGAGAGAGAGAGAGAGA